GTAGCTATGTTTCCATCGCCCTGTTTTAATGCGCATTTTGAAGTATTGCATCAGAAACGAGTGATGGAAATGGCAAATTTTGAATAAAAATCCCTTAATTCACAAAAAAGTTTTTACACTCGCTTGAGGTGGTTTTTGACTTGTGCGAAAAAATTATTTACTTTTTATTATATTCAGGGGTTTCTCCTACTTTTCATAGTGATAAATAGCCTGGCGCCAGTTCTACCAGGAAGTGACGATTTTGTTCTCTTTGACTCGTTGGATGGAAACGGTGCTTATTCACAAATGTTTTATGCGGTATTTCAATTTTGCGCATAAGTTAAATTCGCAACTTTGGATGGAAACCCGGCTAGTGACAGAAAACTGTATAACCTGCAAGTTCATGAAAACGTAAATGCGATGCCCGTACTGCCTTTGATGTGGCGGTAATGTCGGTAAAAAACATTCGCCAGTCAAAAACTTCGTATTTGAACTTGATTTTGGTGAAATGTTAATAAAATAATGACACAGGCAACGAACGCAAATAAACGTAGCCTATCTGTAGGCCTATACATTTATATGGTAACACTACAATAAAATTTCATTAGTTAATGTTAGCTAATGTATTAACTAACATGAGCATACAATGAACAATACATTTATTACACTATTAATCTTTGTTAATGTTAGTTAATGAAAATACAGTTGTTCATTGGTAGTTTATGTTTGTTCACAGTGCATTAACTAATGTTAACAAACACAACTTTTGATTTTTGTAATGAATGAATGAATGATTGATGCATTTATATAGCGCTTTATTGTGTATTGTTGTACACCCAAAGCGCTTTACAATCGTAAAGGGAGTGTGTGCAGAAACACCAGTGTGTGCAGCATCCACTTGGATGATGCGATGGCAGCCACAGGACAACGGCGCCAGTGCGCTCACCACACACCAGCTATAGGTGGAGAGGAGAGAGAGTCATAGAGCCAATCAAGTGGTTGGGTCTATAATGCATTAGTAAATGTTGAAGTTAACATTAATAAATGCTGCAGAAGTATTGTTCATTCTCAGTTCATGTTAACTACACTAGTTAACTAATTTTAACTAATGAACCTTATTGTGAAGTGTTACCATTTATATAAATGTATCTGTATAGCCTACAATAAAGCCACAATAACAACTACCAATAGTAGGTTTCTGGCTTGCAGCAAAAATTTATTTTGCCTATGTCACAATATGAGGTAAATCCGGCCCTGTACATGATACTGGTTTTTGTTGCCAAATTGGTTTGGAACAGTTGTTGAATAAACAATTAAACTGAACTATTATGCCTGTCTATCTGTTTTGACTGTTTATTGATCACTGAGAGAGCATTGACTTGGTATGATGTAGGTTCAATATGAAAATGAAATTTTTAAGAAATAGCTTAGATGAAGTAAACTACTTTTGCAATGTTGCTGTAGCTTAGCTTGCTACATTTCCCAGGGCTGTAGCTTTAGTGTAGTGAAGCTTCATTTAATGATGAGTAACTGTTAGCTTAAGTAGCTTGCCCAACACTGGAATAAGTTAAATATATATTGCAATAAAATCACAAAGTTACATTATTTAGTCATACTATTCAACTGGTAGTCATGTTAGCACCTATTAAAAAAAAATCAAACCTTTATTTTGTTTGTTTTGTGTGTGCCGGACAAATGGGTGTGTATTAGGTCTGTAAACTTTTGAAATGCATGTGTAGGGGCGTAACATTTCTGTCCACGCTTGAGGAATTCGGCCAATCACAACGCACTGGATAGCTGGCCAATCAGAGCACACCTTGCTTTTCAGAAAGGCGGGGCATAGAGAAACAATAATATACAGTGTGGAAAATAATGTGTTTTTTGAACCTTAAACCGCATAAACACATTGCATTACACCAAATAATGTTCCTTTTAGCAACGTCATATGACCCCTTTAAGAAAAATATGTTACGTTTATATATTAAATATTTATATATAATTTATATGAATAGAAATATATGTAAATACTTGTAAATATTTTCAGAATATATGCTGTATGTGTGTGTTTATATATACACATAATAAATATACATAGCACACACACATATTATGTAAACAAAAACTTTTATTTTGGATGTCATTAATTGTGATTAATCGTTTGACAGCACTAATTTATTATATTGGGCTTTATTAAACTTTATGAAAATATAAGGATTTGCTCTCCTGTGGCTCCCTCGTGTGGGTAACATTAGTAGTATGGCCTTCACTTCTGAATCACATAAATATAAACAATCCAACACTCTCCATTGACTTTCTATTGCGGGAAGCTGACTCCTTGTCATTTCTGACTTATAACAAAAAACAGTGCAATAGGATCTATGAGGACATTTGCCATCGGCCAATGAAGTTTGAACACCTATAGAGACTGAGAAAATCTGAAAACCACGCCCACCGGGGGCAATCCAACCCTCTCCATTGAATTTTTAAGAAAACAGAACAATGTCTAAAAGCTGCTATGTGACAAGGTGTACAGTAAACAAGCTAAAAAAAAAAAACAGAACTACATTTTTATAAGCTGTCGACCCCCCAAAAAACGAGTGTTTAGGACACAAATAGTTGTAGATGTCGGGGTATTTCACATTGGGCCATTCAGTTGAATCATTTCTCAAACAAAAGGAAGGTTAGGAAAAGGGGCACTGACATAGACCAATAAAATGTAGTTTCTTAATATATCTTCTCCTCTCAGATTCATATAGGGTAGTGAAATAATTCTTTGACATGGTGAAAAATAATGAATGGTCTTGTCGCCAATTACGTTTCCCTCCAGTGGGCGCAGTTCTCAGAGTACTATGACACATTGCGCTCTACTTTTGTGTCCTAAAAAAAAAAAAAATCCTTTTACAAGGCGCTCAAATGAAGAAGAAAAAAAAAGGATCATGGAGCTTGGATGGAGTTGGCTTGCTGGATGCAAAATAAGTCATGCCTTTTATTGTTTTCCCTGTTTGTTATTTCAAAGTCTTGTCACCGAAGTGTTGTGGGCAATGACACAGAAGGGAACTGAAACAATGCAGTTTAACTTGAGGCGATCATCAGGGTCCAAGCCATAGACTGTAAAAAAGGATGGACAGGTGCGTCTCCTATTCCTTCCACTACAGAAAAGTGAAGCCAAAGCATCTCAGTATGGCTGCTGCCATCTTGAGTAAATGACGTCATTTGGAGCCAGAGTCTGCGCAGTAGAGATTTGTTTGGAGCCAGAGTCTGTGCAGTAGTGTCGTGAGGTGGAGCCGCGTATCAAACTCCCGCCCAAACTCGCACAGACCCAATCAACCATAACGACACGCCCCGTTTTTATAGCATCAAATTACTAGCTAAAATCAAATAGCTGTCTCTATTAGTACAAGCCCGTTATCTTTACAGAAAACATACTTGGTTTAAAAGTCTGTCATCTGATTTTACTGTGCATAATAAATGTACGTTTATGAATTACAGACGGGGAGCACAGCACGATAAAATTAATGACATAACTGGTCTTGTGGTGCCTTCGTGTGCTATGACAAACTTTATAAGTCCCACTTGTGATTATGAGCTCGACAAATTCAACCGGTCAACTTCACATTGCTTTCATATGCAATTTTTAACTACCACATTCCAATTTACGATCATTCTGGTAGCATGTGAAGGCCGCATCAGTGAAAACAGGGAGAGACAATGGTAGCTTTAGCAACATCAGCCTTACAGAGTGCATGTGTACATATGGAGAAATCTGGAATCGCTTCTTCAGAGACTGTTTATGATTTATTGAGATTATTAACTC